AAAATTCTTGAACGCCATATCAATCAATTTATAATTTGAAACTTTAACCCTTTTAATTAAAAACAAACCAATATACTCATTATCTATATTTACCAAATGTGCTACTTTGAACAATATCAAGCATGTTTTATATTTTAGGTTATTTCGACTAAATTTGAGATAATTAATCAAAAAAATGTGCTTTTATGAGATTGTGTTACAATTAATAGAAAAGCGATCGTATTATCTAAAGAGGTGTAAAATCTCTTCAATGCAACGCTTTCACGAGTTATTCATTTAAATAAATTTTTATTTTCTTTTGTTAAACTCTTTTATATTATATTATGAGTTATTATTTGTTATATAATTAAAATGAAGTGAGCGTTGAAGAGAGAAAAATAAAATGTAATTGTTATATAAACTATAATTATGTTATTCAAAAGTGCTCTTACTTACTGACAGTTTAATCAATAATATTATTTTCATATCAAATAATTAGTAAATATTTGTGAGATTTTGTTTTGTTTTAAAGAATTTTATATTTAAAATAATAAGTGATGGGTAAAAATAGACGACAACAACATTTGTTAATGAATATGAAATAAATTTTATAAAATAAAATAATTTTCAATAATAAAATATCATTTGAAACACATTAAAAATATGAATTGATTTGAAAAATATTTCCCAATTAAACATTCCTTGAAAAAGATGTCAACATTAGAAAACAGACGTGTTTTTTAAATAAACAATAAGTCTTGTTATAAAACTACTTTAAATTCAACAAATACATTAAATTTAACACTCAATCAGTTGTATGAATAAATTTTGATGTATACATAATATAAGTTTTCATATTACTCATTTTAATGGATTGAATATTTATGAGATTGAGGCTAAATTTAGAATATTGTTAAAAATATTATTTTATAAATGCAATAATATTACAACTGCTTATTGAATTTTTTAGATTTGAATAGACAAAGTGTTTTTACATACCTTTAGGTAAAGTGAATAAAAGTGCCAAAAATATGAGAAATGTCGATTTGATGGGATGACAGACAATGAAATGATTATACAGTGAACTGAACCACATTTCCAATCAGTTGACTACATGTTGCTCTCATCCGTATTTATGTCATATTATTTCCAATTATAATCTAATTATTTAGATTCTAATATATAATCTTTTACATAGTTTTATTACTTTAAGCAATCAAGACATTGTACAAGTTACTAAATCATTCATTTAGGATTAAATACAAATCAATCAAAATCAATGAACACATCGATTCTTAAGACGAATGGCGTCCAGAATCTGGGTTTAAATCTATTCGCGGTAGAAATGTGACAATTTTAAATATGTCTAATTTCATAGACATACTAATGATGATATATATACATTAACAAAGACATCAATTTTAAAATCAATATTAGAAAATTCTTATTTTTCACAAATACTAAGTGTTTCTCAAATTCTGGTGTTTGTATCCAACCCTTAATACCGAAGGAATTTGTGTTTTGCAGCACATCTTCTGCTCAATACATGCGCACAGTATAGCCATCACAGCCACCACTAAATCCTTTACTCCACAACTCATCTATACTTTCATTACATTATTGTATTAATTATTATATTATATCTGCAATATTTGCTTTATATTCAATCTCTCCAATATACTATGGCTATAATATTCATGCTTCATTATTATTATTATTATTATTTTCATATTATTATTTGTTATCAAAAATATCTCTTAAAATATTGGATAATATTTGAAATAATCAATAAATATTTTGTAAATGTATATAATAATAATAAACTTATAATTAAGAAAATTTTTATTATATTAACAAATGTTATTTTTAAATAATACTTTGAGTAAATGATGATAGCAATCATCAAATAACAAAAGTGAGAATAGAGATTAACTGTTAATGAGATCTTTCAAAGTTATGACTTTAAATTTAAAATTAATGAGAAACACCTTTGATTATTTAAACATTTGAATTTATAGTTTATAAGACCTAAACTACAGTATTTTTAAATTCATTTATGTGTACAAATATCACCAAATATATTTATTTATTTATTTAATTGTCAATAATTAATCTGATTGGTAATTAGTTGTTTTAAATTTCAGTGTACAAAGTAAACCTTAATTAGCTGCTTATTAAGACTTTTTAAAAAATTATTTAAAAATAATAGTGTATATATTAAATAATTCTCAGATTACTTATTACATAATGCAATAATTCAATTTGTACGATTTCATTGTATGACATTGTAACAACTTATTTATAGGTGTCATATAATACTAATCAAATATGGTATAGTATTCACATAGAGTCCCATTTCTAAAACAAAGGCAACGTTTGCATAGGAATATAGATGACCCACTCTATCATTATCCATGACTTCCCAATGTCTTCACTCGTATAAATAGACACTTGTTTCCAATGTATTCAACAAAATGTCATTTGTTAAAAATTGATTTTACTTTTAAATGAAAAGCTTGTCTATCTATCTATTGTTTCCATTAATATAAATTTATACTGAATTTCATGATACAGTATTCTTATCATGTAAACTAACATTAAATGTTTAGTTATTATTAAAATTTTAGTTTAAAATATAAATTTAAAACAGATTTTGTGGTAGTTAAAAAATAAAAGTTGAGACCTTCAATATACAGAATATTGATATAATAAATTATTAATTTTTATTACTCTTTATTTTATATTTTAAAATCTTAAATAATTATTAAAGCCACTAATTATATTAAGTCAAATATACAATTTATAAAATTGCTTAAGTAATAAAATCCTTTTTAATATTTGAAGATATTTTAATTACTCTAAAATGATTCCTAAACTTTAATTCTGTAACACTAAACATTTTACAGAATACATTATTATACAAAACTTAAAAATTTATATTTATTATATTTTAGAAAAGAAATGAAGTACAAATATAATATAAATACTAATGTACTTATACTGTATTGTGTTAATACTTATTATGATATAATAATATAAGTACATTAAGAGCACAAATATTTCTTTTTCACACTTATTTTACTCTAAATTCTCTATTTTCTCAGTATTTTAATCTGATTTATGTAACGAACTATTCATTCATTACCATATTATAAGTATCATAATATCATAAATATTTATGCCTTATTAATGCAACCATAAAATTTCAATTCATTTGTATAAAACAACTGAAAATTGAATCAAAACAGAATAAAAGGTTTTGTAATTTCATAAATATAGGATTTATTCTCACAAATTTGTGCACTATGATATCTCAACTTGTATTTTATCTTTAAATCAATGTATTAAACATTAACTGATCAATATAAAAGTATTGCTTTTTTAGAGTTTACTCTACTGTACAGTATATATGCCATCGACTTAAAGGGTGAGTGAAAGGTAGAGGGAAAGTGAGCTATCATTTCATTGCATAAAAGCTTTCGAAATTAAAAGCAAAGTCTTATAAGTCTTATAATTCTTACCTTAACTCTAATGGAATTGTTTAAGAATTCCTGTTTTTGTGCTTTTAATGAAAAAACCATTTCAAAGGAATTCACTTACAATTACTTTTATATTGTTATGAAATCAATAATAAAGTAGCATTTTATAATTTATGTTTATAATTAAAAAATCTATTTTTACAATGTGGTTTATATATTGTTTTATTCTTTGTTAGTAAATATTTTTTTAATTTAAAATAACAAAAATATTTGAGAATAAACTTCTTTTGATCTAAAAGTGTTGACCCTATAAAGAGAAAAAAATTTAATTTTATTCAATTTATTTCTTTAACCAAAGATAATATTATGAGACTTTATATAAACTGTTATAAAAACATATCAATATATAATATAAACACAATGATTGAGTTCAGCAATAAAAGTAAATAAAGTTTGGCAAATATTTTAGTATTTTTTTATTATAAATAAAAATTCAATATATTTTTATTTGTAAATATCATAAACTTAGTTTTTTGGCAACAATTTATACATTTGTTTTTAATTGAGTTAAAGCCTAGTAATTAATGTTACATCGCAATCAAATGATTAGTTAAACATTAGTTTTTTATTTTAAAAAATTTAAAAATCCTATAAATATATACCTAGTTAATAATTCACAGAAAATTATTTTGAATTGATACCGCGATTTAATATCAATTTTATATATTTAAATTTACTCTAAAACATCTATTTATTTAATAATTATTATAAATCAAGTCGTTAAAAATTTTCATTTAGCTTGTTTGTTTTTCAAATCATATTTTAGTGCAAATTATTCTTTCAAGTGTTTGAATTTTAGTTAATGTATTAACTGAGATGATATTGATATACTGTATGTATACTGTATTAAATAGATTCAAAATCAACCATGTTTAATATATTAAATATATTTTATATCATATTAAATATAATTCATATTAATATAATATATTTTATTGTATTAATATAATATTTTCATATCTAATATCAGAATAACAAACATTTTATTGATAAACAGTTTTTATTTTAATATAATTGATAACATTATTTGCCTAAAACTGAACGTCAAAACATTTTAGGAAATAAAAACCAAAATTATTGATCCAAATAGTAGTCATATAATACTTCACACTACAGGCTATGTCTAAAACGACTCTCCATTCACCTAAAAAATGCTTTCCAAAGAAATGACAAATTAATTGATTCATTAATTTAGATGTTTTTGAAACGTTAATTAGTTTTAATTATTAATATATTTGTTCACCATATATTCTGAATTTTATTCTATATACATATGTAATTTATTTATTTGTTTTCCGACATTTTCATATAAAAAATCCTAGATATGTTAAAAACGAAATAAAATTCATTAACAAATAATGATAACATTTGTTGTTTAATTGAAAGAGTATTGAAAACATGAATGGATGCGATGGTTGCGATGGATGTGTTGATGAATCATGCGATTAGATGCGGCGCTGAGAAGAGGCAAACGGCAGTGGAGATGACGGCGAAAGTGGTGAATAGGATGAGACACAAGCGGTCGATAACCATGGCTGCGAACTTCCATTCGCTGATAATCTCGAGCAACTCATCCTCCCGTCGCATACGGTTTGTAATGAACTTTAATTCCCTAAATATTGGCGTCAATTCTCGGACACAGTTGGATACCTGCGGACAACTGGTATCGGTGGGCGAGTCATTCATTTGCGAGTTATAAGCGCTGATATCCGGCTCATCCGCCGATCGGTTTTGCATATTATAGAGATTATTGTGAAACGAGTCTACGTTTGAATAGCATTGATGACAACCACCCAAACACCGGTTCGTGGGATGCAATTGAATGAAGTCTTCCTCGCCATCCATTATGTGCGACATCACCTGTCGGGAGGCGTGAAATTGTTCAAGCTCCTTCATCTTGTGGCTTATGTTCGCGATTTCCTGTCGCTTAACAGGCGATGAGTTCGATGTCTTTGCATTCCGACCCCTCGGGGGCTTCACTTTACCCGGTCTGTCAATCCTCAACAGCCACGGCAACCACGTCAGGATAATTGTCCGGATCTGTCATACATACCAGTCATACATATGTCTTATTCATGTCTTTCAATTATGCTTATATTCTATGAATTATTGAAAATTATTTACAAATTACTCAAATATTCTATTCTAAACACAATACACTAATTGTGTATAAATCTGCACTTTTCAAATTAGTCTGCTTTTATTTATAAAATAAAACCACTTATAAAAAGTAAATATTTTCACTCAATTATCAGAGGATTACCGCAAAATACAACAAAAAAATAAATTATAAGATAATTCTAATCAATTGTGTTTAAGGGAAGAAAAACTCAACACTTTATTTAATGATAGAAAACCTCAAGAATGAGATAATTTTCGCATCTTTTTTGTGTGTCTTTCATATATTACAGCGCTTTTTAAGAGTAATGAATCGTCTGAACGAGTCTTCTATAAAGAATATTCTGTGCCCTCAACTGTCTGACAATTTTGGCAAAAACTTAAAACTCATTTATAATTCCGAGTTTGTGTTGGGTTTGGATGGGTTGGTGGGGAAGGACTCACCCATTGAGGCATATCGTGATGTTCAGTAGTTCTGTGATGGAAATTGAGCACAATTACGGTCATGACTACTGAGAACGCAACCATAATCCTACAAAAGTAGTGTATTATTGTATACAATATTGTCTTGTTTTCAATCATTTTGTTTTGTTTTTCTTAAAACAAATACAATTTGTGTTTTAAAATTGTATGTGTTTTATGAACTATCGTCGCGTCCAATGAGCGCCATATACTCACATAATGCACGCGAAATAAGAGCCTGAAATACATTAAACACTTATTATTAACTATGTTTGCAATTAAAAGGAAAGGGATGACCATTGTCTCAAATGATTTTTCAAGTATAGTATACGAGAATGTGTGCACAAATATATCGTAAATCACTTTTTCTCATAACTATATATGAATCTATTGCTCCAGAAGTATGTTCTTTGAGATACACTACTTTATGTTAAAGCCAATAGCACTGCATATCAGAGAACATACTTCTGCAACGAGTAACTCATATACAGTATTAGACCAAATGGTAACCCCTTTATGAGTGTAATATACAATACAAATATAAATCAAAGCAATCATTACCGACAATCGATACGGAGTCAGAAGTGGCTGTTATTTGCATTGAAAAAAGAAACAAATATATAGAAAATCATATAAATTATAAGTGTTATATCGATATGAATGGTACAAACCGGGCATTATTTCGGCCAATTGCATGAGAAACACCTACAGTTGTGGACAAATGTGATTAAAACGATGAACAATGACTAACATGATTAATTTCAACGTAGGAATAGTAGTAGGAATGTATGCTTACAATCATACTGAGCAAAATGGTTACTCCTAGAGTTAGCTTCTCTCCAGAATCTGGAGGTAATGTAAAACTTAATAAAGTCATCGAGGATATTATAACCGAAGGGATTATTAGATTAAAGCCGTAATATAGGGTCCGGCGACGGATTTTTATTGTAAACGTTATGTCCACATAAGGCTCTACATTAGGTAACATCAAAAAATAAGTATTCAAAAAAATTATTTGCAAAATCGACTAAGGCGGCGTTCACAAAGTGCGTACGCAAAATTTTGTTCAAAAATTGAACCCCTCCCCCTACACGCCCATCGTACATAGGAATTTAACATGGTGACACGCATTGGCGTGACCCCTCCCCCTCAGCATGAGTACGTACTTTGTGAATACCGTCTAACTTACCAGGGCAACAAGCGTAGTATAAAACTGTCCTCACGGCAGGCACTCCTATGATATAATGACGACAAACAAGAGTTTTTATTTATATATTTAATATGATATGATATATAAAAATATTAGATTTGTTGGACACAGAGAAATGAGAATAACATATAGAGTAGTGTTGGGAAATGTATGTCAATAATTAGTTCGAGTTAATCGAAAGGAGCCAATACTAGAGTTATTAGTTGTGTTTGGGTTATGTTTAGATGTTTGGACACTATAGTAGAGTTAGTGTACAGAGTATGATAGAGCGGGGAGTGTAGTGGAAATGGTATAGCGGGGAGTATAGTGGAAATGGTATATAAGACTAGTGGGTGAACTGACCCAAAAGAACCCATTCGCCATTAGCTATATAAGTAGATATATCGCCGCCGTCTTCGCTGGAAAGTCTCAGATCTAACGCAAATCCGTCATAACTAAAAGCAAAGTAATGTCGTGTTTCAGCACTTATTAAAAGTGTCTTCACTAACGACAAACACAATCAAAGTCTATGATATCACTCTTACGTCCAGCTGCCGAACTTCATGTCACACTTCTGGTCATCAAATGGAAACCATGTTATGTCGATCTTACAGGTGCTCTTGAATATGCCTGTCATTAACATATACACCATCACTACTATACCTTATAAATATCATTACTTTCATTTGCATTTGATTGCTCTCAGGCTTGTCTTTCAATTAATTATATATAGAGTTCTCTCTTTATTAAGGATATGTTTACATAAACTCTAATATACTGTGTTTAAGATATTTATTAATTTAATATTCTATGTTCTTAAATATAGTCATTTCCTATTCAATCTACAAATAGTCGATCGACAAAATTGATTATTCTGGTGAGTTACCTATTTAAAAGTAGTAATATACTGTTCTAGTAACAGTAAACAACTAGGCATTAGGCAACTACAATATACTATAATAAATTTAAGGCATATTTGTATACAAATCAGTTAAATTGATAATTAAAGCATAGCATAAAAATGAGGACACATTTGAATGTGTAATGAGTGGACAGACAGACCGGGCGGTACGTATAGACAACTGCCGTTATTGCGGACGATTACGTTGCTGAAATATAATGATTTTGTATTCAATGAACATATAATCGATGGACAAATGAACAAGTAAAAGTGCATACGTGTGAAAGGTGCCATCAAACTTTTCATCGGCTGGTATGGCAATGAAAAACAGCATTTATATAGAAATTGTTATACAAATTATGATTGAATTGTGAGACAGACCTGAGTTATACATAAGAATATCGGGTTTCCATATCTTTTCGGGAGTGATCCGGAGGTCTTGAATGCCTCCGTATTCGCTGGTATTCCATCTGAGGTTAGTGTCCACCCATTCCTGACATCCGTTTATACACGAGAGAGAGATTAATGCAAGAAAATGACAACAAAACGGGAACTAATGTCTAGAATATGACAAGTATTCTAGAAATTTGAATCACAAACACATCTATTGAAGAGTCACTGATGAGAGGTTAGAGCACTGAAGTGAACACACATTTTAATGACTCCATTGCTCTCACCATCAAAATGCGAGACAAATTCAATGGTAAGTGTGCTGTAGGTATCATATATTCCCGTCAATTGTGCTCTTAATCCTCGATTAACACAAATTCACTGCAATATGAATCACACATTCAATGCGTTTACGGCCCAAACCTCTCACTAATGATTCAAAGATTTAAATTCTGTATAATTCTCGTATTGATTGGAATTTCAAATTTATCGTCATTTGCTTTTTTGTATTAAACAGACTTTAAACCTTAAAAATATATCATTTTTGTCATATTTTATATTAAAAATACTTCAAATAAATTTCTAACATAACCCGAAAGTCATATCTAAGATATTACTGCAAATGTCTGCCATTTATTATATAATGTTTATGTGACTATAACTGTAATAAAATTTTATGAAAATATATATGCTCACAAAATTTCTAACTAATTAAAAAATATATATCTGCGAATATTACTTAGCATGTTTTCTAATAGCATTCGGAATCTATAACTTTAAATTTCAAAAAACGTATTTCACATGATGCTTGATGCTATTAATTACTAGTCTTTACACAAATAATAAGTTTTCATAGCGAAAGTGGAGTTCAAGAGACGGTACGAGTGCTCAATGATTCGGTACAAAATAACTGACAAAACAGTATTGATAAATGAATGCCACAAAAGATGAAAGTTTTTATTAGTCTTTTCTATATCCAAGACATCATGAATTGATTAATGAATAAATAAATTTCAATTCAAAGAAATAGCATTTTAAACATTGCTTACAGTTTAACGAACAAAATAATGGAATAAAAAGCAATTTCTTTAAATAAAAAACCCAAAGAATTTTATCAAAAAAGAGAGAGACATAAAAAAAAGTAAAGCAAAAGGCTCTTTAGATTTGTTGACCACTTTTGTTGCCTTTTATGTAATGTTTTGCGAGTATATTCTGTTGCGAATTGTCATACAAACAGCAATCGATTTAAGAATTCTTATATCTATTGCTCATCTCTGGCATTGAGATGATCAGTGAACTGTAGATTTCTTAAAACCCTTTCCAGCCCCTCCTCCCCAACCGATGTTTATATACGATATTCAGTATAAAGTTAATTCCTATTCCTCTAACAAAATACAATACAATAACTGGTATTTTCTAAACAATAAATAAAAGACTAATTTGAAGTGACTCTTAGCAGAAAGATGTCATTTACGGTTTATTAGGAATACCCTGCTCAACATTATACGACGGTTTCTTGTGTCCAGTAATCAATAAACAAATATAATATTTAATAAAAAGATTTTTACATGAAACTCAAGTCAGTAACAAATGTTAATTATATCTTATTCTTATTAAAATAATTAGAAATAAAACATAAATAAACTGAGAGTTAATAAATACTGGAGTATGTAGTGGACATCTTCTGTCCTCATATTATTGTTTTACTATAAAAGCCATATCAGGCGTGAAATTGTATTCATATATCATTGTTGAGGGGAGAGAGAGAGAGAGAGAGAGAGAGAGAGAGAGAGAGGCTGTATATGAATATATGATTTATAACAAACCCTATTCTGTTGTATAACTAAGTCTTATAAATCTTTATATTTTTTGCTATTAAGATATCTGAAGGAATTTCTGTCAGAAGAATATTATGCTCTTATTTGAGGCCTTATATTATAAGTGAAAATAGAGGTAAACGATATGATAGACAACGAGTAAACCAAACTATTTTGATAAATCATTTTAGGCTTTTCTTCTCTTTCAAAGCCATTACTTATGAGTTCTTAAAACACAATAAGACTATTGAATATTCAACAAAATATTCAACAAAACACATTCCTCTTCATACTGTTTATATAATATTATCATAGCTTTTATAAATATTCTTCCATTTATGCCATTATTAGTCAAGAGATATTGAATTATTCTCACGACTAATGAGATCCGAAATACATTATTGAAAAGACAAGAGTTTGTGAAATACAGTTGTGTTTGTTTAATATATCTAAACCTTTTATTTAAATATATTATCATTGGAGCGCATTTTTGTCCAAAACGTTATAGAAAACGTTAAATTTAGTTCAAATCTCTTATCAATACGTTTCACTGGGTTTTCATTTTGTAAAATAGTATAATTAAAATGCATTTTGTGTCCAAATTCTGCACACAATCTACGGAATCGCACCGTTATTCTCGAGTGTATTATTTAAGTTTATTTATCTGTTTATATGCACGAGAATTATTTAATTGTAAAATCAATTCGTAAGCAAATATTCAAAATGCGCCAATGAAATATATTTATTATATTTTAATTTATGAATTAAATAAACAAATTTTGGCAAATTAATTAAATTTATAAACAAAACACTGAATTGTGATATGAAAAGCAGTTGTAAAATAAATATAAAGCACTAGGCTTAAAAGGCGACTAATAAAATATATTATGTTAAGCCTATTATTAGTCTAAAGGATTTATTTATTCATTTCAATTCAAGTTGCTGTCAAGTATTAGAAAAGACTAACAAATATAGTCCAATATTTTTTACATGTTATGATCATTTAATTCTATATAAAAGGAGACGACATGTAAAAAACAAAACCACAAGAAAAGGCAAAAACTTTTGGGTATTCAAGAGAAGGGAAGGGGAGCTGAAAAGAGCGACAGTTTATTGCAATCGGATGACAGCCTATAGATTAGGGATTAATAGACATAACACACAACATCTTTACAATAAAACATTATACAATATATATGACTGGATATTGAGGTATGTGTTGTTTGCAGATATAGTCATGCAATTGACATTGGATTCACATTTTCATAGCATAGGCACGGCTGCAATGTTTTGTGGATATGTTGTACTACTGCCACAAATGCCAATATATCTCATATAAGGTATAGTGTGTAAGAAATATAGCTAAAAGTGTTGGCAAAATCAAAATAACAATTCGTTTTTACAAAGAATAACAAAAAAATTGTGAACAAAATAAAAAATACCAAAATATATATAGAAAAAGGAAATTAAATTTCGGATTGGATTCACACGATGTGTATTGTGTGGACAAAAAACTTATTATTCTTATAGTCTTTTAGTTTATTTTCTTTAAAACATTACATTTTTAAAGTAAACTTCTTAAAGATAAGTTTAGTTCAAAATGTATACATTAAATTCAATTATAGTTTAGTTATTATGTTTAGTTAGTGAATATAATATAGTTTTAGTAATAGTTTAGTAGTCCTTACCAGCTTTAGCCAGGTATTAGTGACTAACTGCTGATTTTTTTCATCCTGAATAGGGTTGCCATAGAAGGGGAACAGATCGGGAATAAGACATAAGACATTGAGACATGACTTTAATGATTAGAAAACGTAAATGAATTCAAAGACATTTAATGAATGGAGAAATTGAAAATGAATGGAAACATACATCACGTACTTTCATATTATGTGTAGTTTTATACCAATATTAGAGGCATTCAAATATTGACTGAATTTTACAGTTCAAGTCATTTCCTTAGCTAATCATTAATATCGTATACAGACTTATGTACAGTATTTCACGCTTTACTCAACGAATATATTAAAAATGTATGTTAACTCTTAATATATATAGAAAATGTGACATATTTTTGAAACAATTTATGATTTCCAATGAAATACTCACCAAATTTAACCAAACGTTTGACGTAAGGATTTGATTCTTTTCATCCTATGATGTGATGATAAGGAAGTTGTGTTAAAACAATATCATTCATACACTCACTTCTCCCTCGGTTACATTTCCCTGTTAAGCTATCAATTTATAACCCTTAGTTTAACTCAAACAAAAAGGTTTTATTTCCATATTTTATATTCTTTTAATTAATTTTTTTTAATTTATCGTATTTTGCTCAAAAAAGTGAAATAACTATATTTTCATTTTTTGTTGTAATTTAATGGAGAAATTTTATGTTTTATAATTCTTTTAAATAAAATATTCACATCATTAAACTTTATATATCACTTGTGTTATTATACTTTATATACCGTAATATTTGTAGATTTTTGCATTTGTTCTACTACTTGGTATAGTAGTGATGGTGTATATGTTAATGACAGGCATATTCAAGAGCACCTGTAAGATCGACATAACATGGTTTCCATTTGATGACCAGAAGTGTGACATGAAGTTCGGCAGCTGGACGTAAGAGTCATATCATAGACTTTGATTGTGTTTGTCGTTAGTGAAGACACTTTTAATAAGTGCTGAAACACGACATTACTTTGCTTTTAGTTATGACGGATTTGCATTAGATCTGAGACTTTCCAGCGAAGACGGCGGCGATATATCTACTTATATAGCTAATGGCGAATGGGTTCTTATGGGTCAGTTCACCCACTATACCATTTCCACTATACTCCCCGCTCTATCATACTCTGTACACTAACTCTAATATAGTGTCCAAACATCTAAACATAACCCAAACACAACTAATAACTCTAGTATTGGCTCCTTTCGATTAACTCAAACTAATTATTGACATACATTTCCCAACACTACTGTATATGTTATTCCCATTTCTCTGTGTCCAACAAATCTAATATTTTTATTATTATATCATATCATATTAAATATATAAATAAAAACTCTTGTTTGTCGTCATTATATCATAGGAGTGCCTGCCGTGAGGACAGTTTTATACTACGCTTGTTGCCCTGGTAAGTTAGACGGTATTCACAA